TAACAGGAAACCGCACCAGGCACAGAATCATAACTATGGACCTGATTCGAAGTGGACCTGTGGAATGCCTACACAACTACAGCATGCATAAATTCATTTAGATCTGCCCCCAAATCCGAATACCCGACCACAGTGATCTAAATGTGGTAGTCATTTATCATGAGTGTTCATTCAGGTTTGTAACATTTGGGCAATTCATTTACCAACTGGGCATTGGTCAACACTACCTATCTTGGCTAAACAAGAACAGTTAATAAGTTACACAAAAAATCTCAGTCATCAGGTTGGTGAGAACAGGTGTAAATCACTACTGACTATGAATGTAGTTCTCACTCTGCTCTTCGCAGACTTTACAATTTTATTTTGTCCTTCAGCTAGGCATTGCTGCAAAAGGTGTCATCGCATTTCCAAACTTGTGTTGAAAACGAACGTGTTTGACAAGCTGTGTGTCATTCTGGGGTGTGTCCTAAGCTAGTGTTTTGTACTAGTAACCTTACTGACAAAATACCAAGGAGCTGGTCCAACTGTACTTGCAAAGCTGAACAGTTATGTCTGAGTCCTATTACAATATAGTTTTTTCTCAGCTAATAGTAGGGTATTTACTATTACTGAGTTCAGTATGGTATGGAGCATGGAATTTGCTGCTGTTGTTAACCAATTTAAGTTTGCCTATTTGACTGCAAGAAAATATGCTGAGCTAGCATCTGTCTAACTTAGAGTACAGGGTGGACTGTGTTGTTCATCATTCATCAGACTCATTTATGGGTCAAAGAGTTAAGTGGTAATTCGTTCATGATTGAAATGTTTGCAGCAGCATATAAAATAACAGGCAACATAGTGTAAATATTTTAAAACTTTAATAATATCTGTCCGAACTTTTGTGCTTCATGAATGTCATTCAGTATAACAAAGATAAAAAGCCATTTTAAAGCATATCACATGATAATAATCATGTGACAGTGTGTGACACCAAAAACAAAAGATCTATGGGCTAAAGTGAGGAAATCTCTGTGAAATATATGATGATTTCCCTTTTTCATCCTCTAGTAACACTGGTAACAAAATGCATGTCCTTCAGTACAATACAGAAAACATACTTTTAATGTTATTATTTTATAAACAGCTATATTAAATATGAAAAGTAAGGAAATTTTTATAGGTTAAGGTCATTACTTTATATAGGTGGCCAAGGAACTGCCTGTTAAATATGTCTATGTATCAAATCAGTCCTTTAGTATCACGCTTTTGTCCTTCAGTGCAACAAAAAAGTTTCATGTTATACCACAATGCCACCCATTATGCTGAATGACAATGGCTTTCTTATCCCACATTTTCACAAGTTTTTTGAAGAAATTTAATCAGTCAATTCAAATTTACTTGTTGTATGAATACTGAAAATTATCATATTAAACTATTTAATGGCATTTAGGATATTTATTTAATTGCACTTCAGTTAGGATATAACTGATGGATGATATTAGTTCATTTTAAACACAGGCAATTAAGGATTAAAATTTATATTAAAATACAATAACTTTGCTTTATGGACTCAGAGAGATGAAAACAAATCTCAAAGGATAGAATAGAAGATACTTTTCATTGATTTTTTTAGACAGAAAAATAGATGTAAAAATAACAACACATTTTCAGTTGTCCCCGTGATGCATCAAATATGTGGTATTCAAAATGAAATAAGGTAATTTCTTTCTGGGTAGCTACAGTATATTTCTGCCATTCTAAACATGGACATATAACCTTGTGATTATGAAAAATGGACATATTTAATATTTTTAAATACACTATTTTATATGAATAGTGTTTTACTGTTTTAATAGAGATTGGCTGGCCTACCTGTCTGTCCTGCCCATGCACTCACTGCACATGTGTTTTGCGGTTATTGCTTTGGAGGTGGTGGGATTTTTTTGGTTGGATACTTTAAAAATCTAGCAGTCTCTTCCTTGTTCTCCAACATCCCTCTCCCTCTCCCCCTCTCTCATTTTCAAGAGACTGAGGAGAATACAGGAAGAAACAAATACGTTTTGAGACACAATTTAAGAATGAATTGGGCAATTCCAAATTTTACACAAATGTTGACTTAGATGACACAATAAGTAAACATTAACCAGCACAGTACGGGCATTTGTCGTTTTGTCATTCTGCCTTTCACTCTGCCCAGCACTATGAAGCAACAATAGAGGGTTGGGAAGGGTTAGCTGTAGCTAGAGATTAGGGGGTGTATGAGAGGAGGACGACCACGACTGTGACAGCCATCAACATGTTGCAGTGGGACAGCCAGCTAGGACATTCATTCATTTACATACTGTAAACACACACACACACACCATTCTGTCACTATTTTCGTGGAGACCCATCATTGACATAATGCATTCCCTAGCCCCTCAACCTAACCCTAACCATCACAACTACATGCCTAACTGTAACTCCTACCCCTAACATTAACCTAATTCTAACTGGAACCCTAAAACCAAGTCTTGAACGTCAATAAGCCCTTTAAGCTTGTGGGGTCCAGCATTTTTTCCCCAAAAAGCTGTCAGACCCCACAAGTGTAGTGGAATCCAGGACACACAAGCAATGGAGCTAAAGCCTATACTGTATTGTTTAGTTAATTGTCACAAGGTACTTGGCAATTAAAATGTTTGCAGCGGAGCACATTATACACACTATAATTTAATCATTCATTTAAGTGTGTAAACCTTGGCAAAATTCACAACTATCAGTGTGATAGATAATGCTAAAGGTAAGTAAGAAAATGTGGGGGATTTTGTCTAACATTTCCCGTTGCTTTCATTTCCGATTTAATCCACGGTGTCAGATAGGGCTCCATAATAAAACAATAACAATTTATCGCAATATAATTTTCCTCAATAACAATATAACAAATGTTCAATAAATATTCAATAAATGTTTGATTTTATTCATTTGGATTGTTATATGAATTAGCCCTTACTTTTTCTATTAAGATATTTAATTTGTTGAGGAAAAAGGACAAAATAATTTTAACTAAGTTTACTGGCATATTTGTTGAAAAAAGATTCTATCATAACTATTTTCAATGTTCTACCTCAGATTTGTGAAGTGATCCACTGTTTGGCAAGTTTTCTGACCATAAAGAACAGCTTAAACCACAATTGACCATTTGGTTTCTTCAACTTTCACTCTACACTCTCAGAATACTGTATGCAGTACTTCTGTGAAACTGTCACTGTTCTGTGGCTCCTGAAGGCGGTAGGCTGGAAATGATCAGGGCAGCCTGGACGGCAGCCTCTATATGTTAAAGCTATCACATTGTTCCACAGTGAAGTAATTTGGAAGCTGTAGCCAAAAGAGCATGAGAAGAACACTGACAGGAGTTACAGAGAGCAGAGATTTCCTCAGCTGGAGTGTAGTGAAGGCATACCAATCTAAGACGATTCACCTATCTCATTTAAGCATGACAGAGTCTGACAGACAGATGTGCTGCAGAGGACCCATTTGTAGGCACCAGAGAGGAGTGAGAAAAACCTTAATGATTTATCTTATGTGCGTTCTACTTTTAAAATTGGTGTACCAATATTCACTTTCACCACAAAGCACACTTTACACGATTTTACCTCGTTCTTTGCTTTTTATTTATCTAGTAACCCCATAATTGTACTTTAAGAGAATGTATTAAGACAAAGCAGTTTCTCTAAAAAATATTACTTGTCAAAGTAGCATTTGGTAAAAGCATTCATTAAATGAAGCAAGTAGGATTGGGCAATATGGCCAAAAATGTAATCACAATAAAAATGTCATATAGTTTGATATCGATAGTTATCACAATAATTGTCAAATGATTATTTGTTTCAAGTTTAAAGGCTGATTTTTGCTCCTGAGTTAAAGTAAAAAAAAAACCCAAGCAGTTAATTGTGGTTTTATGGTCAGAACAAACACTTGATGCCAAACAGAGGATAACTTAACAAACTTGAGGTAGAACATTCAAAACAATTATGATATTATTATTATTATTATTATTATTATTATTATTGTGCATAAGTAAAATTAAGTAAAATCTTTTTTCAGTCCATTTCCTCAACAAAAAACATATCTTAACATAAAAATGAAGTACTAATTCATTCGTGACTGAAATTAATTAAATCAGACTTTTATTGAACATTTGTTATATTGTTATTAAGGAAAATTAATATCACCATGACTATTATTATTATTGTTTTATTGGTAAAGGTACTTTGTTTGTCACATTCACATAACGAGATTCATCCTCTGCATTTAACCCATCCCTGAAGGGAGCAGTGGGCAGCCACTGTACAGCGCACGGGGACCAACTCCAGATGGAAATGCAGTGTCTACCTACCTAACATGTTTTTGATGGTGGGAGAAACCAGAGCATCCGGAGGAAACCCACAAAAGGGCAGAAAGGCCGACGTGACCGGCTTCGAAACCGAGACTCTCGTATCGAATAGCCACTGGCCTATCCAAAGGGCCGGCATACGGGCCAGCCATAAAAGCAAGACGTGGGGCGCAGGACATTCCCGCCCGGCAAATACACAACTTGATCAAGGCAACTTCAAATGCTGTTTTTAAAGCTGTAATGGTGGCCGCAGTCTCCCTACAGTGGGCTACATTTCAAATGCAGCCGGTGCTCATATTTAATAACGCATTTGCGGGTTCACATTTGAATCCATACAAATTAGAATGTAAAAAATGGTTAGGAAAAGTGTTTTCAGACAGGAGTTCTAAAGCTGAATGGAACAGACCTCCTGTGTTTTGGGTTGATAGTTGATTCGTGTCTTTTTGCTTCATGACTATAATTATACTGAAGGCTGCCTTAACGTTATCCATTTCTGTCTCCCTGTGAAAATACACTTTAAACACACTGATAGGAAAAAGCGTCACTTTGTAAGTCACTGTTACCCAGTATGTTCCACTATGGTCAGAATGTAGGAAACTAGCAGATAGTAACATTACATTAGTAGGCTATAATACAGAGTACGCCGTACCTTTCAACTATACGGTCATGGAGTTCGAAGGCTCAATTCCAGTTCAAAACATTAGAATAGTCCATGTTTTCACGGTTTAAAAAATGAAACCGATGAATGACACATTTACAATTTATAAATGCGCATCAGCTGTTAAATCCGTGGAAAAATAAAGTACAGCAAAGCAGCATCTCTGCTGGAAAAAAAGTGGGTACAGATTTCGAAAGTCCATTCAACAGATAACCAGTGCAGAAAAACCCATCCACTACGCCAAACGTTCCTAGAACCGCAGTCATTAATGTTGTGCATTTGTTCTCCACATGCCGCCCAGTCTCGCCTGCAGGCGGAGGGCGGAGTCGAGACGGCTGTTTTGCCCTGAACTCCGCCCACAGGCATCACTTCCTCCCACATTGTATGCTGCTCGACTTCCCAACGATGTGGCTGATAGTGTGCGAATCCCTACTTTGGTCCACCTACTTTGGTCCGCCACATGATCACATTCATGGCTCTATGGCGGGGTAGTAGTAGGCCTACAACAAATGAAAAATAGAGGGGTAAACAATTATGTAAAGTTATTGTTATTTAATTAAAACACTGTGATGTAAACGTTTCATTTTCACAATCATCTTTGTCTCCAACTCTAAATTTAAATGTGTTAAATGTAACACAGTTAATTTGAATCACTAAATTTATCTCATCAATATTACAAATTTGTTTATTGTTCTGAAATAGGCTAATCATGTCCACAACGCATGGCATGAAAAACAAAACAGTTAATGGGCATCAATCAAAGGCCCAGTGGGAGAACCAGGAGTTTTCCGAGTGGGTCGCTGGACTATTGGGCCAATAAACTGCATAGTATTAAAATAGAGACAAAACTGCAGTTGAAAATCAATTTGTATGTGCCTTGATTGACTGGCCCATAATGTGTGGTTACTGGCCCAGATGGTTTGAAAACCCAAAGTGCCAGAACAATCAATAAATGAATAAAACAATAAATAATTAAAGCTGCAAGCAGCGTTGGGCGGGCCCTCACACTTGTAAGCGCGTCCGCGTGTAAGCCGGCCGAGTTGCATATTCTGGAGCTCTGCCGGTGCGGCTGTGAATTTGCTACGCGGTTATGACGCCGCATGAAGGTGTTATATGTCACTTCCTGTGTCCCCTATGTGGAGCTACATAGCACTTGCCGCTATGAATATACATCGGTATTGGTGTGTAGATGTCTGCGGGGTGGGAGAGTTATCAAGCACGTAAAGTTTGGTTCAGATGTGAGCATGTACACTGAACAATAATGTACCCAAACAATAAAATAAATTCCTTTTATATTTCCCTGCCTTGTTGTTTATGTGTACATACAGAGGAAGAATGTGAGAACAGCACACATTTCATCGTTACTGTGTTTCTGCTCCAGCCTGCCTAAAAGAAAAGCGTTTTTGGGATTAAATGGACTTTATTAGCTGCTGCAGTGCAGGATGAACTCAGAACAGACCCATTTCTCACCTTATTATTCTAAACCATGCAACAAAGAAGAAGAAATGCATAATAAATCCTGGGACAAAATCTGTAGTCAATTAAAGCTGCAAGCAGCGTTGAGCGGGCCCTCGCACTTATAAGCGCGTCCGCGTGTGAGCCGGCCGAGTTGCATATTCTGGAGCTCTGCCGGTGCGGCTGTGAATTTGCTACGCGGTTATGTCGCCGCATGAAGGTGCTATATGTCACTTCCTGTGTCCCCTATGTGGAGCTACATAGCACTTGCCGCTATGAATATAAATCGGTGTTGGCGTGTAGATGTCTGCGGGGTGGGAGAGTTATCAAGCACGTAAAGTTTGTTTCAGATGTGAACATGTACACTGAACAATAATGTACCCAAACAATAAAATAAATTCCTTTTATATTTCCCTGCCTTGTTGTTTATGTGTACATACAGAGGAAGAATGTGAGAACAGCACACATTTCATCGTTACTGTGTGCTGTACCGCAGTTCTGTGTCCATGCATGCAGCAAACTGAAAGCACTGTCTGTCGGAGCGTCTACGTGAAAAGAGAAGGAAGACATTGCTGGTAGTATTGTCTTCAGAGTTGTTAAACACCTCAGCGCACTGAAGGAAGCCATCTGACTGTGTGAGGGGCAAGATCGTTGATGTCTGCAGGCAGAGTAGGAGCTCTCCTGTCTGACTGGTCCACCAATAGCAGAGAAGATGACCCCTTGAGACACAGCCCCTCCTCATTTGCATAATGAGGCAGAAATGCATACAAAAATTTAAAAAAGACAGGCAGAAATAAATACCATGGGTGAAAATAAATAAGGTAAATAAATACAAAGGAAGAATAAAACAGACAAAAATATTAAAACACACACATAAATAAATACATTAAAAAATTAGTAATAAATAAAGTTGAATAAACAAATAAGGTAATTATAACAAAGGTGAATAAGTAAAGGCACTAATTAAAATATATACATTTATGTCTCCTTGTATAATTTAATTACTACCTACATTTATTTATTTACTTTATTTTTTGTGTATTTAATTGGATGCTTATTTATTTATTGAGCATTTATTTATTTCTGTATTTATTTCTGACTGTGTCAGGATCGGTCCTCCATAACGGGGTGGGAGAGTTATCAAGCACGTAAAGTTTGGTTCAGATGTGAGCATGTACACTGAAGTTACAACAACTTCCTGTGTCATGGCGAAGACTTGATCTCTGACGCCACGCCACGGACACACCCATTGACGAAAACTCGCAAATAGCACAACTTTTCATCTTCAATGCCTTTAGAAGGCACAGCACAAATTTGAAGTCGGTCGGACTAAATCCCTAGGAGGAGTTCGTTAAAGTACGAAGTGTGTAAATCATCCAAAATTTGACGTAAAATTCAAAATGGCCGACTTCCTGTTGATTTTAGGGCATCGCTCCAAGAGACTTTTTTGTGCGTCTGGACAAGATACACGTACCACAGAAAATTCGTGCACGTAGGTAAAACGTGCGGCGGGGGCTGCTTCGTTAAAAGTCACTTCCTGTTGCCAGCAGGTGGCGCTATGACTGTGGGTGAATATCAGCATGTACATGTGTTCAGGGCGGGACTCTCATCCTACATGTACAGTTTGGTCCAGATGTGAGCATGTACACTGAAGCTACGACAACTTCCGTGTCATGGCGAAGAGTTGATCTTTGACGCCACGCCACGGACACGCCCATTGACGAAAACTTGCAAATAGCACAACTTTTCATCTTCAATGCCTTTAGAAGGCACAGCAGAAATTTGAGGTCGGTTGGACTAAATCCCTAGGAGGAGTTCGTTAAAGTACGAAGTGTGTAAATCATCCAAAATTTGACGTAAAATTCAAAATAGCCGACTTCCTGTTGGGTTTAGGCTATGGCTCCAAGAGACTTTTTTGTGCGTCTGGACAAGATACACGTACCACAGAAAATTCGTGCACGTAGGTGAAACATGCGGCGGGGGCTGCTTCGTTAAAGGTCACTTTCTATTGCCAGCAGGTGGCGCTATGACTGTGGGTGAATATCAGCATGTACATGTGTTCAGGGCGGGACTCTCATCCTAGATGGACAGTTTGGTCGAGATGTGAGCATGTACACTGAAGTTACAACATCTTCCTGTGTCATGGCGAAGACTTGATCTTTGACGCCACGCCACGGACACGCCCATTGACGAAAACTTGCAAATAGCACAGCTTTTCATCTTCAATGCCTTTAGAAGGCACAGCACAAATTTGAGGTCGGTTGGACTAAATCCCTAGGAGGAGTTCGTTAAAGTACGAAGTGTGTAAATCATCCAAAATTTGACGTCAAATTCAAAATGGCCGACTTCCTGTTGGTTTTAGGGCATCGCTCCAAGAGGCTTTTTTGTGCGTCTGGACGATACACGTACCACAGAAAATTCGTGCACGTAGGTGAAACGAGCGGCGGGGGCTGCTTCGTTAAAAGTCACTTCCTTTTGCCAGCAGGTGGTGCTATGACTGTGGGTGAATGTCGGCATGTACATGTGTTCAGGGCGGGACTCTCATCCTACATGTACAGTTTGGTCCAGATGTGAGCATATACACTGAAGTTACAACAACTTCCTGTGTCATGGCGAAGACTTGATCTTTGACGCCACGGACACGCCCATTGATGAAAACTTGCAAATAGCACAGCTTTTCATCTTCAATGCCTTTAGAAGGCACAGCACAAATTTGAAGTCGGTCGGACTAAATCCCTAGGAGGAGTTCGTTAAAGTACGAAGTGTGTAAATCATCCAAAATTTGACGTAAAATTCAAAATGGCCGACTTCCTGTTGGTTTTAGGGCATGGCTCCAAGAAACTTTTTTGTGCGTCTGGACAAGATACACGTACCACAGAAAATTCGTGCACGTAGGTGAAACATGCGGCGGGGGCTGCTTCGTTAAAAGTCACTTCTTTTGCCAGCAGGTGGTGCTATGACTGTGGGTGAATGTCAGCATGTACATGTGTTCAGGGTGGGACTCTCATCCTACATACCACCACAGATAAACCTGAAGAGAAAGTTTAAATGAGTGCACTAGTGTAATAAGACATTTTATATAATTGAACACTGGATAAAGTACCTTTTGCTGCTAATACTGCAATCCTTGATATTTGTGCATGCATCCAAGTTATTTCTGAATAACAGGTAAAACTGTAAATTCTCAATAAAGTATCACAGAGAAATTTTTAAATATTACTAACAATGATGTTAAAATTTTCCATTTTTGAAAGAAACAAAAAAGTCTTCAAGAGACACATACTCAATTGCTGAAAAAAATTCAGGGAAAGACAGTTCCACCGCATGGAGGTCCCCTCTTTGGTAGGTAGATATCGTTCAAGGATCCAAGTGCCCTTGGCAATTTCTTGAAGAAAATGTTCTCGTTTTATTTTCACAGACTCCCATCATTGGCTTATGGTAAATACCTCCTCGTCCCTTCTCATTTGCTCACGGGTAACTCTGCCCACATCCTTGATTGTCTGCGTGAGGGAGAAAATTGTGGAGGGGTTGCTAACCGCTTTGAAACTTTACTTGTGTGGTTTGGCTGCTAAACCCAGATCATGGGTTCAACCACAAACTCTTGTCTCTGATAAAACCAGATCAACAGCTGGAGTCTGGGGTTATAGATAACTCTGGTCCATAACTGCTCAATAAGATTACCTGAAGATGTTACCGGCTGATAAACCAAATCTTGCCTGGAGCCAGTTGAACGTTTACTTACAACCAGATTATTTTTCAAGTCTGTAGTTCCAAACTCTTGTCTCCGGCTGATAAAAATAGGTTCCTGTTTTGAAAACGAACTCTGATAAAACCATTGTGTTTTAGCAACCAGCCTCTGGGGTTATAGATAACTACAAGATTACCCGAAGATGCTAATGACAGTTAAAACACACAAGTTGATGTACATGATTGAGAAAACAGAGGGAGGGGTGGGTGGGAGGGATGGAGGGAGGGGCGGAGCACATTCCTCAATTCACTCTGCACACTTAGAAAGACACCAGAAAGACAGGACAGAGAAGAAGAGACACATACTCTAATTGTAGACTGTAATTCATTCAATTAATTCTTTAGTTCTTTAATCATAGTAAGTTTGTGACACAAAGCTTTAGCAAAGATTTTACAAAGTTTAATTTTGGAACTCTTTTGCTGAATGCTGTTGAAGGTAATGCTGTTTAATTTTAACTCTAACTATTTTACTGCTTTACTGTAACTCATTCACCCTGGAGTAGGCCTACATTTTCACAATAGGTTGCTGTATTTAAATACTAGCTATATTGTATTTTCATTTTATTCACTTTATACGGTTCTACTCCACTACATTTCAGACTCAGATGTAGGCCTATTTCAGATTTGAAGTACAAAGCAATCTTTTAAAATGTGCTGCAAGGTTAGGGATTATGCTCATTTAATGTTACTAGACTTCACGAGTAGAAGCTGAATGACGTCACAAAACAGTGTGGCCATGGAAGCACATATTGCAAATGGTAAACTATAAACTAAAAGGCAACAAAAAGTATATTTGCATGTATTTAAATTAAAATAATACATACAATCACATAGTAAAACCTGTTCTGAATGTACATTGATGTAGAAATATGTTAGGCCTATTAGGTAGCTGGCTAAATAATCTCATAAAATCATCTTTTCTGCATAAAAGTTATTGTTCAAAATGCCAAAACATTAGGAAGTGTAACTTACATCTAACCTACAACTGATGTAGCTAGAGGGGTACACAGTTAACTAGTAACATATAGGCTAATTATGTCAGTTGTTTGCATTTAAGCCATCCTCTTAACCAAAGGCACTGCTGAGGGTGCAACTGTGTGTACACTTTGTCACGGTCTACCTAAAGGCGTTCCAGGTGCATAGTGGTGCATGATGCCAAAAGTGAACGAAAACCATGGCTGACCATGACACAGACAGTGTACCCACATTTGCACCCTCAGCAGTGCTCTAGGTGTCAATTAAAAGGATGGCAGCTTTACTGCAAACAATTGACATAAATAACCTATACGTTACTAGTTAACTGTGTGTACTCCGATAGCTACATCAGTTTATGAGTCCCCCACTGTGACCCATCCACCAATGTGTCCCTGAGCATGACGCTTAACCTCTAGTTGCTCCAGAGGCATGCGGCCTCTGACACACAGGTGCTGTCATATAATTAGAATATCATCAAAAGTTGATTTATTTCAGTAATTCAAAAAGTGAAACTTGGATATTATATTCATTCATTACACACAGACTGATATTTCAAATGTTTATTTCATTTAATTGTGATGATTAAAACTGACAACTGATGAAAATCCCAAATTCAGTATCTCCGAAAATTTGAATATTACTTAAGACCAATGCAAAAAAAAAAGGATATTTAGAAATGTTGGCCAACTGAAAAGTATGAACATGAACAGTATGAGCATGTACAGCACTCAATACTTAGTTGGGGCCCGTTTTGCCTGAATTATTGCAGCAATACGGCGTGTCATGGAGTCGATCAGTCTGTGGTACTGCTCAGGTGTTATGAGAGCCCAGGTTGCTCTGATAGTGGCCTTCAGCTCTTCTGCATTGTTGGGTCTGGCGTATCGCATCTTCCTCTTCACAATAGCCCATAGATTTTCTATAGGGTTAAGGTCAGGCGAGTTTGCTGGCCAATTAAGAACAGGGATACCATGGTCCTTAAACCAGATACTGGTAGCTTTGGCACTGTGTACAGGTGCCAAGTCCTGTTGGAAAATTAAATCTGCATCGCATCTCCATAAAGTTGGTCAGCAGCAGGAAGCATGAAGTGCTCTAAAACTTCCTGGTAGATGCCTGCGTTGATCTTGGACCTCAGAAAACACAGCGGACCAACACCAGCAGATGACCTGGCACCCCAAACCATCACTGACTGTGGAAACTTCACACTGGACTACAAGCAACGTGGATTCTGTGCCTCTCCTCTATTCCTCCAGACTCTGGGACCTTGATTTCCAAAGGAAATGCAAAATTTACTTTCATCAGAGAACATAACTCTGGTACACTCAGCAGCAGTCCAGTCCTTTTTGTCTTTAGCCCAGGCGAGACGCTTCTGACGCTGTGTCTTGTTCAAGAGTGACTTGACACAAGGAATGCGACAGCTGAAACCCATGTCTAGCATAAGTCTGTGCGTGGTGGTTCTTGAAGCACTGACTCCAGCTGCAGTCCACTCTTTGTGAATCTCCCCCACATTTTTGAATGGGTTTTGTTTCACAATCCTATCCAGGGTGCGGTTATCCCTATTAGTACACTTTTTTATACCACATCTTTTCCTTCCCGTCACCTCTCTATTAATGTGCTTGGACACAGAGCTCTGTGAACAGCCAGCCTTTTTAGCAATGACCTTTTGCGTCTTGCCCTCCTTGTGCAAGGTGTCAATGGTCGTCTTTTGGACAGCTGTCAAGTCAGCAGTCTTCCCCATGATTGTGTAGCCTACAGAACTAGACTGGGAGACAATTTAAAGGCCTTTGCAGGTGTTTTGAGTTAATTAGCTGATTAGAGTGTGGCACCAGGTGTCTTCAATATTGAACCTTTTCACAATATTCTAATTTTCTCAGATACTGATTTTAGGGTTTTCATTAGTTGTCAATTAAAAGGAATGAACACTTGAAATATATCGGTCTGTGTGGAATGAATGTATACATTATACAAGTTTCACTTTTTGAATGGAATTACTGAAATAAATCAACTTTTTGATGATATTCTAATTATATGACCAGCACCTGTTTATATATAGCAATTGTAAGTGGCTTTGGATAAAAGTGTCAGATAAATGAATAAATGTAAATGCTAATCCTCAAGTCAGTGTTGTAGGATGGCAGTTTAAATGCAAACAACTGACATAATTAGCCTATATGTTACTAGTTAACTGTGTACCCCTCTAGCTACATCAGTTGTAGGTTAGATGTAGGTTACACTTCCTAATGTTATGGCATTTTAAACAATAACTTTTATGCAGAGAAGATGACTTTAAGAGATTCTTTACTGTAGCCAGCTACCTAATAACATATTTCTACATCAATGTACATGCAGAACAGGTTTTACTATATGATGTATGATGTATGTAGTATGTATTATTGTAATTTAAATACATGCAAATATACGTTTTGTTGCTTTAAGTTTATGGTTTACCATTTACAATGGGCGCTGACATTGTTTTGTGACGTAATTCAGCTGCTACTCGTGAAGTCGGGGTACATATTTTTTCTCCGACTTCACAAGTGGCGTTCCACAGTACTTTTTCTAGTCGGAGGTCGAAAATTTCCCAGTTCCGTGTTGCGTGGAACGTAGCGTTGTCTGCCATCTCGGTGAGTGAAGAGGAACCGGACGGAGAGGGCAACCTGTTAGCACGTTCAACCTCATTTAACGTTAGACAGGTAAGTTAGGGTAATAACAGACTTTTACACATAACCAAACCTATAAAGGTAGTAACGTTTTTTGTCGTTGTTCATTAACATTAGCTTACTGGCTACAAGCTTTAGTCCAGCTTAAATTGGGTTCCAACATTCCTAGTTGTTACGTTCATAGACTTTTATATAAAAATGTTACCTTAGGGTAATGTTAAAGTCAAAGTAACAAACGCTAGCAACTTAACGTTAGATTATTGAACTTAACGTTACTGCCAAATACATTGTGAGTATTTTTGTCACGTATGACAACTTTGAGTTTAGATAACGTTAGGCCGCATATTGTACGTTAACAGGTATCGCTAGCTTAACGTTTGTTGCTACATTTTTTTAAGGCTAACGTTAATTGTAAGGCTAGCTGACAGGTTCACAAAGCTGTTAAATGGTGATCCCACTGCATGAAGTCAGATAGGGCTTAGTGTAAGTATGTCTGACGTTAAGTTACCTGTGAATATTTTGTCAAGCAAAAGTCTTTTCACTATTAAGACATTTTCAAAATGTGAGTTTTCTTTTGGAATTAAAAAGGTTCAAATGTAGATGGATAGAGACACAGTGGGCACTGTACTGTTGAAGGAACTCCTCTGAACTCCTGGCTGTCTAATCCTGTCCAAAGCCTCCTGCTGACCCAGATTTATTTTAGATAACTATGACACTACACAAAATACAGTAGGAAATCCTAAAAAGAAAACCTATGATGCAGGTAAGATTTTCTTAAGGTAGAGCTCTTCTACTCTAATACATTTAAATTGCTTTACTAGTTTTAATCTAGTGTTCTGTATTGTGAGGGGGGAAATAAGATAAAAATATAAAATATATAAATAAAATATAGAAAATTAAAGCTGCATGCAGCGTTGGGCGGGCCCTCGCACTTGTAGCGCGTCGGGGTGTGAGCCGGCCGCTTTGCATATTCTGGAGCTCTGCCGGTGTGGCTGTGAATTTGCTAAGTGGTTCTGACGCTGCATGAAGGTGTTGTATGTCACTTCCTGTATCCCTTTTGTGGCGCAACATAGCACTTGCCGCTATGAATATAAATCAATATTGGTGTGTAGATATGTTCAGGGCAGGACAGTTATCAAGCACGTAAAGTTTGGTGCAGATGTGAGCATGTACACTGAAGTTACAACAACTTCCTGTGTCACAGCAAAGAGTTGATCTTTGACGCCACGCCACGGACACGCCCATTGACGAAAACTCACAGATAGCACAACTTTTCATCTTCAATGCCTTTAGAAGGCACAGCACAAATTTGAAGTCGGTCGGACTAAATCCCTAGGAGGAGTTCGTTAAAGTATGAAGTGTGTAAATCATCCAAAAATGGCCGTAAAATTGAAAATGGCGACTTCCTGTTGAGTTTAGGGTATGGGTTCTTGGGGCTTTTTTGTGCGTCTTGATATGATACATGCCCCCAGAAAATTTTGTGCATGTAGGTTGAACGTGAACGAGGGGCTAATTTTTTCCAATTTTCTAGGTGGCGCTAGCGAGTCATTTTGCCACGCCCATGTGCGAAACCCATAAAATACGAAATTTTTCACCAGTCCTGACATGTGTGCAAAGTTTGGTGAGTTTTCGAGTATGCTCAGGTCCCCAAAATGGAGCTTACTTTGCAGAAAAAAGAAAAAAAAAAAAAAATTCAATAGGGACCTTGCACGGTCGTGCTCGGGCCCTAAATAAATAAATAAAAATAAATAATCTTTACAAATTCAATAGGGACCTCGCATGGTTCGTGCTCTTTTAATCCATTTAACTTTACAGCACAGTTTTTTGCATGGACATTTATTATACACACATCGCACATACGCTGTGAACATGACGTGATTATGATGTTGCTGTTTGCAAAGTGGAGAAAGAGAGAGAAAATGGGTACAAAGAAGAAAGTGTCCAAATGATGGGATTATTTCAAGCTAAAGAAAACAACAACTCAATGTAATGTTACTGTCCGCTACCATAAAACGAAAGTTGCCTCAGCAACAGCACGACGGCAGCTGATCAGAAAGAACCCGGTGTTCTGCCAGCGGACCACAGACAAGGTAACAGGAACTTTAGCATTTAACTGAAATCATGATTGATTGCTGAGTTGAAGGCTAGCCAAAGTAAGCCGCAGTCCTCAGCTGAAAATGTGCACACGTGCGTTTGTTGTTCTCCTTTGTTGTTCGTCGCCACCAAGCAAAAGTACTTCTTAAACGATGCATCGATGAATCGTTGAAGTAATCTGTCGAAGCTTCGAATACTAAAATCATTGTTAGCTGCAGCCCTACATTATATCCTTACTCAACTCTGACACTCCATATGAAAGGACTCAGATCAGGTAAGCATAACAGGGCCCCATCACACTTTTCATTAGGGGCCCCTGGGCCTGTGCTTGGTAGGTCTGTTTGGTTGGTTATTTGGAACACAAGTCCCATGACTTTGTATTTTCATATTTATCAATCTAGCAAATTTCAAGAATTTTGCAACCTTGGCAGAGAGGTATATGCTCTTTTTTCATTTAGTAGGGTGTTTTATGGTGTAAGATGTATATTCAATATTAAACCAACCTCTAAATGGTTAGGACATCAAGTGATTAGTCAGTCAGTGGGATTATTTGGTTGACAAAACATTAACAGCAACTGTGTTGATAATCGATAAGTCAAAGTTAAGTACAAGTTTCAGTACAGTTTCTGTTTTCAATTATGAAGATTTGCTGCCTTGAGTAAATTAATATCTTTTGGTTTGTACTTTGGTTGGACCAAACAAGAAATTTGAAGATGTCAGCCAGGGCTTTAGTAAATTTTCTGAAATTTTATAGACCAAACCATTATTCATAATAATTGACAGATTGATCAATAATCAAATAATTGTTAGTTGCAGCCCCTTTCAGGAGGTTCTTCGCCTCAGATTCGTATTAATTTTATAGAATAGACAATAAGGAAAAAGATAAGGCTGGACCGGAATATTCATTCGTTGGGTAGGTATTTGATTTTCAATTTTGGGATTCAAATATTCTTCTTGGGCATTCATCATCTTCTGCTGTACTGCTTCATCTATCAAATACATAGCTCTAGCTGGTGAAATGACAGCCTGCTTATTAAACAGACATCTAAACAACCGGTGTAACACGACACCCTGCTGCCAAAGCTTTGAGTATTTGCTGTTAATTACTATCGAAGCTTCAAAGCTTCAAAAATGGTATTTGGGCCAGCCCTAGAAAAAATAGGTTTCGTTGTGCTTTGGTAAAAGAAATTGGAAGGTGATTTAGTCTAATTTTTTTCTGTCATGTAAATTAATTCTTCTAGACATAATGAGGTATAAATGAATAAATATATGAAATAGGCTTACTGAAGACGGTAAAACTGTTTTGGTAGTCGTAGTCAATGTGGTAGAAAAATATGATAATTTGAGGGGGAAAAAAAAAATTATGCGGATTCTTTGCAGAAAGAAGTATAGTTTCTCCAGAGTTCTACACTAGAGAACATAACCTCTTTATCGTCTTATTTCTTCTATTATAATGATATTACTTATTGTTATATTCTTATTTTGTTTTCAGGATAAAGGAAAACAATTTTTTCAAGGTTGGTGACACTCAACAAAACATGGCATTTATTAACATTGCCAAGTAGAACGCACCCCATACTGTACATGCTTCAAGTACGTATTGGTTTGTCTCATGCTATTCTGTCACAAGAGCCTGAAAATATTTTCTCCCCAGAAAAAGATGTTTCTAGTTTTCACTTCATTCATTTTTGTTTGTGCTGCCATCTAGTGAGTAGCATTGAAATAGTCCATTTGACTCAAGCCTTATGATACAGGATGCTTCGGTCAAAAATTAGTTGTTGAAACTTATCTCGTATTTACAGGTTGGAATACTAAAACCATTGAATTTCCATTCTGTTCTGATGCTGGTAAGGACACCAACTGGAGATAAACCATCTCATTCCCCAGGAAGGTGATGAGCATGTACAGACCAGCACCAGCTCAAGGCCCACAAACCACCATTGCCAGCCGACTGAGGTCCCGTGTCTGTCAAGCATCACAACAGATCATTCATATGCCCGATATCTGAGAAGGAATGTGACTGCTATTCCAAGGTAAGTGCTTGTAAACCATGCACAGGTCATGGACACACAGTGTGAAGACAGAGATTTACACTGTGCATGCTGGCACATTCTATCAAGATAGTGATACTCAGCAGTAATGGTGGGAGGACAAATTTAAACACTGTGAGAGGCAGCCAAGAGAGACGGAAACTTGAGCTGCAGTGGAAACACCATCGTAAAAACTAGAGGTGCTGCGATCAGGATTTTTGGAGCCGATGACCAATTGCTGAAAGCAGTATTGGCCGATACTGATAAATAGCCTTCTATTTATCATTTAACATAATACACTCACCTAAAGGATTATTAGGAACACCACACTAATAATGTGTTTGACCCCCTTTCGCCTTCAGAACTGCCTTAATTCTACGTGGCACTGATTCAACAAGGTGCAGAAAGCATTCTTTAGAAATGTTGGCCCATATTAATAGGATAGCATCTTGCAGTTGATGGAGATTTGTGGGATGCATATCCAGGGCACGAAGCTCCCGTTCCACCACATCCCAAAGATGCTCTATTGGGTTGAGATCTGGTGACTGTGGGGGCCGTTTTAGTACAGTGAACTCATTGTCATGTTCAAGAAACCAATTTGAAATGATTCGAGCTTTGTGACATGGTGCATTATCCTGCTGGAAGTAGCCATCAGAGGATGGGTACATGGTGGCCATAAAGGGATGGACATGGTCAGAAACAATGCTCAGGTAGGCTGTGGCATTTAAACGATGCCCAATTGGCACTAAGGGGCCTAAAGTGTGCCAAGAAAACATCCCCCACACCATTACACCACCACCAGCCTGCACAGTGGTAACAAGGCATGATGGATCCATGTTCTCATTCTGTTTACGCCAAATTCTGACTCTACCATCTGAATATCTCAACAGAAATCGAGACTCATCAGACCAGGCAACATTTTTCCAGTCTTCAACTGTCCAATTTTGGTGAGCTCTTGCAAATTGTAGCCTCTTTTTCCTATTTGTAGTGGAGATGAGTGGTACCCGGTGGGGTCTTCTGCTGTTGTAGCCCATCCGCCTCAAGGTTGTGCGTGTTGTGGCTTCACAAATGCTTTGCTGCAAACCTCGGGTTGTAACGAGTGGTTATTTCAGTCAAAGTTGCTCTTCTACCAGCTTGAATCAGTCGGCCCATTCTCTTCTGACCTCTTGCATCAACGAGGCATTTTCGCCCACGGGACTGCCGCATACTGGATGTTTTTCCCTTTTCACACCATTCTTTGTAAACCCTAGAAATGCTTGTGTGTGTGAAAATCCCAGTAACTGAGCAGATTGTGAAATACTCAGACCGGCCCGTCTGGCACCAACAGCCATGCCACACTCAAAATTGCTTAAATCACCTTTCTTTCCCATTCTGACATTCAGTTTGGAGTTCAGGAGATTGTCTTGACCAGGACCACACCCCTAAATGCATTGAAGCAACTGCCATGTGATTGGTTGATTAGATAATTGCATTAATGAGAAATTTAACAGGTGTTCCTAATAATCCTTTAGGTGAGTGTATATTTATTATCTATTCCACTCCTACTCTCTAGAGACACGACTTAACTATGTTGAACACACTGGCAGGTGCTGTGCCATTCATCATAAGCTTTTGCTTTAGATTTTAAGGCTCAAACAAAAGAAGCGCTGAATGCAAAATAGGTTAGTAACCTGATAGGTTAGTAAGCATGTTTGGCTCAGCATTGGCCATCTAACGTTAGCTTGCTTCTTGCTTTAGCGACGACCAACGAGAGGTTAACTGTCGTTAGTTATGAAAAGATGAATGACCATTTGTTTGCTTGCCAAACTTAAGTAGTTGATTAATGTAATCATTTATGTCCCTACTGGCTGCCATCATGTTAAGTATTAAGTTTTGCTGCAAACAGGTTAACGTTACAAGTTTATTGTTTATCATGTAACAGTTTTATTTTGTTAATGTTGCACTGGGTTTGAAAGTCTGGGTGATCTATTGACTTATAGTAGTTTATTAGCTGTCATTAGTTGTAGACACATTGCACTTTAGGCTACATGGTCGTGCTCTGTAAGTGGAAAAACAGGTTACAGTTACAGAATTCCTTATACATTATGCAGTATTATAAGCCGCTTGGATGGAACGCAGTAGGTGAAACAACACTCAACCATGAGAGACTTGACTTGGACTCCAGGTCAGAGACTCAGTTGAGAACAACTTAGAATTTAACAAATAGCTTTCCCGTGGAATAAATGACAAAAACAGAACAAACAGAACAGAAACAAAAAAGGCTATGGCCAAAACATTTATGAAATAAAGGAGCACAGACATCATGATAACTTTTGCATCATGAGTTGATGATAAACACTGGAGTAGGTGCTTTTTGTTCTGGAAGCTCTGGCAGGTTCTATGGGCTTTAAGTGGTAGAGAGAGGAGTAAAGAGAGGTAGAGTGGGCTAGGGAGAGGAGGCAAACCCTTCCCCATTAACTAAAGGTACAAAGCTAATTTCATAGTATACTGTTAGTAAAATGTTAATATATTACGTAGAGATACAATAGACTATTCATTATAATTTCATATATAGTTTACCAGTGGTATAGGACTAATATTAAATCTGTGGTAATAATCAGTTATTAAATCCTTGTGCAAGGAAAAACAGGCTACATCAGTCTCTAAGTTATTAATGCTGAGTACTAACTTGTCAAAAATCATAACCATTAATGCATAAGAATTACTGGATGTTGTAGTCTTTACTCACACGCCATCAATCATTTTTCTAGTTTGTTCTATTTTTAGGGACATATGTGAGTGAAATACAATGTATCTTCCATCCTGAATGCACATTACGGTGGTATCTATAGGCTAAAGGCACTTCAGGTACTCCCGACCTGCTCCCGACTCCTATCCCCCAACGCCCACCCCCTTACAAATCTACGGGGACCAATTTAAGTGCGACACACAACAAAAAAGAATGCTCGGGCATTTCAAATTTGTCCCTCCTCGACTTGGAAATCGATCTCTGCGCGACATTTTGAAGGACATCTCAATTCTGGCTGGCTGATATTACTGATAACGGTACATGTATTCGTACCGTTTCGGTACAGGACTTTCGGAACGGTGCACATGTGCACTGAATGCAGTCTTTTGCAGTCATTTGTTAGGCTTGTTTTGTTTGTGGAACATATGTAAATTCAGAGTTTCCACACGGACATATTAAGTTGTGGACCAAATCTCCGTCGTGCAGCGCTACAGCACAACACAAGCAGCCGCTTTAGCCTAGCCTTTTGCTAACTAGTGACTTAACATCACAGACAGTGCAGAGAAGCCAGAGCTTTAAGACCCTCCCTTATTAATGTCGGTCGTCTGTTTGGGAACACTTCGGTTTCCAGTGAAATACAATAATAAGACGAAAGCAGTGGGCCGACATTTCTCAGTAGTGATCGGGTATGTTTCTGGCAGCACGTCAAAGATGCTAACTCACTAATGGTATCGCACGAAGGAGAAAAACAAAAACGAGCACAGGACAAACGTCTTTTGGCATTTAAATAAACTTTAGACTAGACGGAAATGTGTTTTGTTTTTTCCTGATCAGGCCTTCAAGATGGGATTGGGACGGAATAAAAGAATAAGAAGAATGCTGCACTGTAATATATATATATAGTGGAGAATTTATTAGTTTGCAGCAGTATTTTATTTCTTCTTTTTTATTTTAGATAATTTATTATGTGTAATTTGGAAGTTTGTTTAAAAAATTGTAAAGTAATTTGGATGTTTACAAAAGTTCATAATGAATCACCAGCTATTTAATGTTTGCATTTTTTTTCCCTCACTGTACTTAAAATAAACTGAACCGTGACTTCAAAACCGAGGTACATAACGAACCAAGACTTTTGTGAACCGTTACACCCCTAGTTGATATTGTTGAATGTCAGGGGTGGATGGGCAGGCAGGATTGTAAAAATGAACACTGAATAGCGGCTAGCTGTGTGAAGTGTCTTCCCAGGGGTGTAGAAAATAATTGATTTTTAGATGCATCGTGATGGTGACTTGGACGATTATGAATCTATTCACAAATGTGGGTCATCTTCTCTGCTATTGGTGGACCAGTCAGACAGGAGAGCTCCTACTCTTCCTCCAGACATCAACGATCTTGCCCCTCACACAGTCAGATGGCTTCCTTCAGTGCACTGAGGTGTTTAAAAACTCTGAAGACAATACTACCAGCAATGTATTCCTTCTCTTTTCATGTAGACGCTCCGACAGACAGTGCTTTCAGTTTGCTGCATGCATGGACACAGAACTGCGGTATAGGGAGAAGCACACGGTCAGCTGGCTGCAGCTAAATCTGGAGTGCACTCGTATTCAATTCTGTATGGTAAATTCAGTTTTAACGGAGCAGAGCGAGCTGACAGGCAGAGTTAGAGACTTTTTCTGTCCGTTTCTCTCTTTACAAAGACGCATGTTGCAGTCAGAGTCTTCTCTGAGATGCGAGCACGACATACAACACAATTTATCAAATTACACATTGGATATACAGTATGAAAATAAGATTGATTGGATTATACTCACAGGAAGTATAAAACCTGTTACATGTATCTATTAAAAGTAAAGTAACACAAAAATGTCAGGGAAATTACTTTACTTAGATTTAAGTACTGCAGTTGTACATTTGAAATACCTTCCTACCTTTCTGATAGGAAGCCTTCTTGAGGTGGTATAAAACATTTCTTCTTATATTCTGATTTGAGTTGTGGACAACTATGACCACATGAATTAAAAAAACATTTCACTGCCCAAGTCAGCTATAACACAAGTCTTGTTCATCAGACTACATGCTGTACAGTATTTGTGGACAGATTTTGTCCCAGGATTTATTATGCATTTCTTCTTCTTCGTTGCATGATTCAGAATAATAAGGTGAGAAATGGGTCTGTTCTGAGTTCATCCTGCACTGTAGCAGCTAATAAAGTCCATTTAATCCCAAAAACGCTTTTCTTTTAGGCAGGCTGGAGCAGAAAACAACTCACCTT